GGGGTGGGAGGGGGGAAGGAGGGTAGAACACACTCTCAAAAAGAATTCCCACAACTTGTGTGACTGTGCAAATGACATTCTTTTTTTCTTTCCAATTTCTCTCTCTCCCAGAGAATAAGCGAGATGCAAAAAGTCTCGCTCACGCAAAATCAAAATCCATGATACAGAAAAAACGTATAGGAGCTCATGTCAACACCTCTCGGTACGAACATATCTGCTGGTTGTTGTGGAGTTTCATTTCGTTTTCTTTTTTTTTTTTAATCTGCTGGGTGACTTTTTGTGATTAAACATTGGTTATTTTACTTATTTATTCATTTCCTTATTTCTTTTGTTGTTTTTAAGTATTTTGATTTATTGCATTGCTAAATCATTTATTGATTTTTTAGTCTTTTTATTCAGTTTGGTGTGTGTGTCGTGTTGAGTGATTTGTTTTTTTTTTATATTTTGAGTTGCGTTGGTGTGGAATTAGGTACCCCTGGCGAGGAAGACGTTCTATCATATCCCGTAAGTTACGATTTGGAGGAAAACAAAACCGGGTTTTGAGGAAAGGGGGACGAGGGGTGTTTGGGGTGGGGGTGGGAGTTGCGTGTACGTAAGTATTAGCAAAAAAGCCGCTAGGGTACAACACATGATTTTGTTATATTCGAGAGACAACATTGCCTTTAATTAAAACATTTCGTAAAGATCACTCTTCTAAACGCGCGCATTGTTTCCACACTTCGTTATGTCACTCAGAAGTGCTCAGGCAAGGACACTGGACTTATCTGACAGGTTATGTTTCCTCGAACAGGTCTCGTCAGAGAAAAAGGAAATTAGGTATATAGAGCAAGTAGAAAGTTTATTCGAAAACTGAATAGAACAATAACATCCCACGATAAAGGACCATAGCACTAGGGTCGTAATATCTCAGTTGTCTTCGTGGAGCTTCGGTGTTAGAAAAGTTCTATTTTTTGCTCTCTCCTACTTTTTCGAATGGTCGAAACTTTTGAAACGCGCAAGGAAAATGACAGTTTATACTGGAATAGCTAAGGAGGTAAGAGATCTGACAAAGATCCACCCAGCCCAAGAAAGGCCTTCAGGTACTTTTAAACAATAAAAGACTACTATTACAACAAATTGCCAAGGGAAAGGGAAAATCATGCTATAATTTTATGCTCTGTAATCCGTGCCTCACATTTTCAAACAGTACGCGAAACGGAAATCCAGATCTTTTTTTCACTCCCTGCGTCCGGAACCAGTTATGTCAAACTGTGAAAGCCATAGTAATAAATATTATTTCCATATGCCCGGTCGTTCAAAGTGGGTAACGAGGGAGTTAAAAGTTTTATGAGTTTTCTCTCAAACCTGAGTTGCTGCCGATTTTTTGGGTCACTTTGCCGTACAAATGAGATATTAATGGGATAATCGTTTCCCCTGTGCTAGACATTAATGACAGATACCTCATATCTGATCGACTTTTTGGTGATATTTTCCCCAGTTTAGGTGTCATTTTCCAAGTGGGTGATAATTGGTTGGATCCTAGACGCTAAGAACCTCAGAGTTGAAGAACGTTTACTCGTATAGTAGGCTAGATCGCCTTTCCCCGTCTCAAAGTTTCGCTGTGTAGATCCAATACGTGTACTTGTGCAAACTCATGGAGTTGAGATGTGCGCATGCAGGGCATTTTTTAAAGAGCTAAATATGGTGTCTCATGTGGCTTTTTTTGGGGGGGGGGGGAGGAAGGGAGTTTGGGCCTGGGGTAGGGAGGGAATGGAAGTCTGTAAAACGATTGTCCTACTAGAATGAAATAAATAATTAATAAATAGGAAAAAAGAAATGCAGTTCCTAATTTGTGAGGCCAGCTACAAATTCAGGCGGTTTTTTATCTCTGCAAAACCGATAGAAATGTTCAGTTTCAGTCTTATTTGTAAGTGTTTTACGAAGCTGGCATTTGCATAAGATCACATGAGCGCGCGGGACACATTAAACATTTTCAGTTGGTAAGACATTTTGAAGTCTCTGTTTTTACTATGGCAATATCGACATAATGTTATTACTTTTTTTAAAATTCCTTAAATCAAAATATATATTATAGATTTGCAGGATTTTCAACCTCCTGAAATGTTTGAGAAAACGATGTGGAACGTCTCCCTTGCTCGTGTGGAGTGTGACTTGTGGGCTAGCTGCCATCACATCCCGCTGTGTGTGTGGTGGATGTCCATACTTGAAACAGTTTTGTTTGTTTGTTTGTGTGTTTGTTTGTTTGTTTTTTCTCTTGTATTTGAACCCTTGTCTTTGACATCACCAGTTTTGGTTGCGGTACATTGTGGTTTTCTTGACGTGTTCAGTGAGTGAACCTTAGTCTCAAGTCTTTGCTCCTATGTATCTGCCCTTGTGGGCCATCTCATATATATTAGCATCTTTGACGAGTTTGGTTTTAAAATGTCGAGCCTTTACTGGTTATTTTTTCTCTTATAAGGATTAGATCATGATGTGTCTTAAAGCCTCGTGTGCAGTTTTTGACAGATTTTTGAAATTTTTGCCCTGAAAGTTTTGGAACTTTCACCCTGCTTTTTTTTCGTGTAATTTATTACCGTACTTTTTTCATATT